AGGCAACTTAGACATTGGCTACCTAAAATGAAGGGGCAATAAAGGCACAAATTGATTGGCTTACAAGGTTTCACGAGGGAGTTTAGTTTAATAGTGTGTCGGGGAAGAAAGAGTCCTCACTGAATAGTTTTCATCTTGTCTCGGTGGGTCTGGTTAACAGAGATGGGGATAAGATTCTTATGATTCAATAGTGAGTTATCATGACTAGTAGCGACTGTCACAATTATAAAAGTAGAAGTTTTGTAACAAAAACGGGAGTAGTTAATCTTACAGTCCAGAAGCAGAGGACCCTAGAACCATCAAGGGAGAAGAACACAAGCAGAATGTGGGACCTTATCCAGAGAAGTAGTGACACCAGAAATGGAGGTAGAGATGGGGACATGGAAAAAGGCGGCAGCTGAGGACTCTAGATTCATGGGAAGAGAGGGACTAAGAGCTGGTGACCAGGAGGCAGACTTGCAGAATGTGCCCTTTGGTGGTATAAATTATTATATATGCCTGAGTGTTTAGAAGAAAAAAGAGCTAAAGTGAATAGAGAAAAATACTGTTATCTGATGGTACATGGCGGGGATTATAATCATTGTAATGAAACAAGATGTATGATTTGTTGAATGTAAAAGTGATGATCTGCCCTATAAACTTTTACTCAATCTACAATAAAAACCTTAAAAAATAAAAGAAAATGGAATGAATAAAAGAGTCATTGTACCAAAAAGAAGACATGGTCGATGTTCAACCACTTTAAGAGGTAGCATATGATCATGAGTCAATGATACTGAAGGAAGTAGTTCAAGGTGCACTGAAGGCATTGTCAAAGAACAAGGCACCAGGAACTGAGGGATTACAGATTGAAATCTTTCAACAAACTGATGCACCACTGGAGGCACGCACTCATCTCTGCCAAGAAACTTGCAAGACAGCTACCTGGTCAACTGATTGGAAGAGATTCATATTTGTGTCCCTTCCAAAGAGAGATGACCCAACGGAAATATAATGTATAATTAATATAACATGCAAGTAAAGTTTTGCTGAAGATAATTTAAAAAATGGCAGCAACAATACATCAACAGAAAACTGTCAGAAATTCAAGCAGGATTCAGAAGAAGACGTGGAACTCAGGAAACCATTGCTGACGTCAGATGAATCTTGGCTGAAAGCAGACAATATCAGAAAGATGCTTACTTGTATTTTGTTGACTACACAAAGGCTTTTGATTGTATGGATCATAACAAGCTATAGACAACATTGTGAAGAATGAGTATTCCAGAACACTTAATTGTGCTCATGAGGAGCCTGTGCCTCAACGAAGAGGCAGTTCTTAGGACAGAACAAGGGGATACTGAATGGCTTAAAATTAGGAAAGGTGTGCACCAAGCCTGTATTCTTTCACCATACTTACTCAACCTGTATGCTGAGCAAATAGCCTTTGAAGCTGGGTTATATGAATAAGGTGGCATCAGAATTGGAGGAAGACTCATTAACAACATGAAATATTAAGATAATACAACCTTGCTTGCCAGAAGCAAAGAGGGCTTAAAATACTTACTGATGAAGATCAAAGACTACAGCCTTCAGTTAAGATTGCACCTCAATGTAAAGATAACAAAAATCCTCTCCACTGGACCAATAAATAATAACATAATAAATGGAGAAAAGACTGAAGTTGTCAAAGACTTCATTTTACTTGAATGCACAATCACAGTCATGGAAGCAACCAAGAAATCACACGAAGTAGTGCATTAGGCAAATCTACTGCACAAGAGCTCTTTAAAGTGTTCAAGGACAAAGAGATCAGTTTAAGGACTAAGTTGCACGTGACCCAAATCGTGGTATTTTCATAAAACACCAGACTGAGAAGCACAAGGTCCATGGTTTGAGCCCACCAGCTGCTCTACAATAGAAAGATGAGGCTTTCTGCTCCTGCAAAGATTTTAAAGCCTTGGAAACCCAATACTGGGTCATTATGAGTCAGATCTAACTAACTAGAATGCACTTAACAACAGTAACAACATGTGAATAAGGGAGAGTGTGGGAAAATTCATGCATTTGAGTCATGATGTTGAGAATACTAAAAGTACCAAGGAGAAGCAGATCAACAAACAAATCTGTGTGGGAAGAGGTACAGCCAGGATGGCCCTTAGAAGCCGGATGGCGAGACTCGCTCTCTCTTACTTTGGACATATCATCAGGAGGGACCAGTCCCTGGAGAAGGACAGCATGCTTGGTAATGTGGAGGGTCAGTGAAAAAAAGGGAGACCCCCCCCCAATGGATAGACTGACATGGTGGCAACAGCCATGGTCTCAAACATAACAACTGTGAGGATGGCGCAGGACAGGGCAGTGTTTCATTCAGTTGTGCATACGGTCGCTGTGAGTTGGAACTGACTCCAAGGCACCTCACACTAAGGAGCTGCACTGTTCCAAACCTTCAGGCTTCAAATACTGTTTATGCTGTCTGAAGTTCTCTCCCCGCTCAGTCACTCTACCTTGCCCCTACAATTTCCACCCAACGTGGATATTGCTAATGTTACCAGGTGTGGTGAAGTCAGTTCCAACTCACAGTGACCCCACATACAACAGAACAAAACACTGCTCAGTCCTTCACCACCGTAGATATTTGTTGCTCCAAAATCCCTCCCTAGTTTTTTCCAAATTTACCTGCTCCCTTTTCTCTACTCAGAACCTATCTATCATTAAGCTTATCAATTGTCTTTATATATGTCAGTGTATCCTCCCTTGAAGTCCTGGTGTGGCGCTGTAGGATGAGCACTGAACCACAGTATCAGTTTGAACTTCAAGGCCAGCAGTTCAAACTCACCAGTCACTCCTTGGAAACCCTAAAGAGGATCTCTATGAGTCAAAAACGACTTGACAGTACATAACAACAACAACAATCCTCCCTTAGACTATGAACAACTTGAGAACAAGGTCAAAATCTTCCTGTTGCCAGGGCCACACCCAAGTTTTGACACATGGTAATCACTCAACAAATTTCATTTTTTATATCCTTACTAACTAGACTGTGACACCACCTAGGCAGAAGTCTAGGTGTTAGACTTCCCTCAGAGCATCTTGTACAGCAATGAGCACTATGGGCAACTACAGTGATGCTTTAACTGGCAACTGAATCCACACCAAACCTCAGTTCTATGAACCTCTTTTCAAACCAGAAGCTCACCTAAGATACACTATTGGTCTCCTACTAGAATTGCAAAAGATCATCTTCCTTTTATGCATATACATTTCCAGAGCTTTGAGCTAGTAAGAGCCAACAGAGATCACATAGTAAGTCCTTTGTAAAGAGCTGACGCCTACAGGACAGAGGCGGTCTGGTCAAAGTCAAGGTTATAGCCAGAAGAGCTAAGAGTAGGCCTCAGATCCCCTGGCTTCCTACTTACAACCCACACAGCCTCCTTTTTGCAGCATGTAGCTTCTCAAAGTGGTATCATTGCTTTTCTTAGATTTACATAGCTCATATCCCCAATTGCACGATTTCTTATAATGATCATTTTAGAATTTGGCTCAAATATACGAATACTAAAAGTACCAACAAGTTCAACCAGGAAAACACCATTTCCAGTTCCAATATCAAGTACGGAAGCATCCAGTGGGATCTTCTGTTTTTCCATCCACCTTATTAATCGAGTCATACTCTCTTCTCCAAACCTGTTAGAAGCAGAAAATCAAATAACAAAGGGATGTAAGCAAATGTGACCGGTATAGTCCATGTACACAGATTACATCATATAGTCACTTGTCTTTTTTTTTTTAGTAGGAAGCAGCATCTATGACTGCACAAGCTTCATATCGATTGTTATTTAGGAGACAACACCCCCAAGAATAGACTGGACTAGATGAGCGTGTTAACTTATTAACAGTTTTTCTACATCACCATTAATACTGGAGCCATATTGGGGACTCAAAATTTTATTTCTTACTGAAGAAAAGACAACCATGAGATTCGTTTTGTAATATTATTAACGTAAATCTGTGTCATTAAAAGAGAAGAGTGAAATGTCATAAATCTATGACTAAAACCAAAATCAGTACCACAGTTGAGTTTTTTTATTTGGAATATACACACAAATGTAGCTAACACCAAACCCCCGACACTGAGTAGAGGCTGTGACTCACAAGGTGTACAGTGTTGCTGACACTATACTCTTCACTGGGACACACAGCCTCCTCTTTCTCCTGCAGAGCTGCTAGTGGGTTTGAACCACCACCTTACGATTAGCAGCCCACTGCTTACCCCACAGCACCACCACTGTTCTTACACATACACACATGTATGCATACACATGTATAATCATGTGTAGTCTTGGTGTGGCATGAAAGACAATGCATTGGACTGCTAACCGCAAGGCTGGCTGTTCAAACCCACCAGTCACTCCTCATAAATCCTCTACAGGGTCGCTGAGTCAGAAAGGACTTGATGGCACTTAACAACAACAACAACACAATCACCTGGATCACAGTTCCTTTTTTTCCCTTCCAACTCACCAGATTTCGCCTGCATCTCCATATTCTTGAAAGGTTTGCAGTTCTCTTTCATACACAGCATCCCAACTATAAAGAATGAAATATCAAGCAAGATTCTTGAACTAAACTGTATCATGAATTAAATGTACATTACAGCGAGGAAAGAGGTTCAAAACATTATCAGCATTCTCATAAGTGCACAAAGCTCAATATCTGAAGATCCCTGTGTGAACAGGAAGACTGGGCAGGCAGGATTAAGTTTAAATACGTAACGTACTTACAACAATGCCTGACAGAGATCGAATGTTATATAAGACTGAACTTTAAAACAAAGAAGTGTTTGTGCCAGAAACCCTACTACCAGACCCAAGTCCTGCACTTGACAGTGCTTTACAGCCTGATTGTGGTTCATTTCAGTCTGAAATGTACAAACGCTTTTGCTGCCCTCACAGCAGTTATATGCACAATGGAACCCACCCAAGACAAGAGGTGCTTGGAGGTTAAGTGTTAAGGTTTGAAACTTAAACCTTCCTGTCTCTCCCCGGCGCTATTCCGGCCGGCAGTGTCTTTCTATCTTCTAACCCTTGGCTTGGATTTTCACGTGAGGTTGCGGTTATGTTCCGTGGAGTCGGTTCCGACTCATAGTGGCCCTGGCACAGGGTTTCCAAAGCTGTTCCTGCGGAACAGCTGGTAGTTTCGAACTGCCGACCCTGAGGTTAGCAGCCCAACTCGTAACCACTATGTGCAAATTCCATTATCTTTTGGCTTCTCCTCTTTTTCATCTCCCTCTAATCCCTGCTCCCTCCACCCTCCAAGTGCCCTCTTCTCAGCGTTCCCCACAGTCATCCGTCTGTCCATCCATCCATCCATCCATCGGTCCAGCCAGCCAGCCATCTATCCGTTCATCCATCCGTCCAGCAATCCATCCAGCCATCTGTCCGTCCATCCAGCCATCAGTTCATTCCATCCTTCGGGAGCTTCGGGTCTGAGTGCTTTCTCCGCCCCCACCCCACCCCCCCAGCCGCCCTCGCTGCCCCGCTCCCACGTCCCGGCACCCGAGCCGGCAGTTCCCGGGGCCTCGGACCCTTGCCCACCAGCCTTTTTCATCGGCTGCCCTTCCTCCCAGTCCCACCTCAAGTTCAAGACCCCCAGAAGCGCCCCCAGCGTTTCAGGACCCTCTCACCCCCATAAGCCCCTCAGGTAGAACCCTAGAGGGCCAGCCCCGTCGCTTCCCCCGGCTGACCTTTGCCACACCCCCGTGACCCCCATGCATCCTCCCCACACTCCCCACTCACTGCTCTCGGGTCCCCAGTGCCGACGGGGCGAAGCCATCCTCTCCAGGACCACCCTCTCGGGAGCTCGCTGCCTCCACAGCGCCACCGACACCATCAGCGCCCGCGATCATCTCCCCAGCGCCCGGGCCGGTGGTTGTGGCCACCATAGAGACGCGGCGCGGGCAGAGCGGACAGTAGGTGGGCGCCTCTAGGAGGTGGGAGGCCTCCCTCTCTACTGCTCCAGCCAACCGCCAGGCAAGCTTTACCGACTTCTCTTTGGCTCGACCTGCGTCAAGACTTGAAGGGACTGGGGTAGACCCTCACATCGGTGTGGGTGTCCCAGAACTCTCTAGCCAACGTCAGATACACGTCTGTTTTCGAGATTCCCTGTTTTAAGGCAAGGAGTCCTGATGGAACAGTGGTTAAACGCTTGGCTGCTAACCTGAAGGTCAAAGGTTCAAACCTACCAATTACTCTTCGGGATAAAGATGTAGCAATCAGCTTCCCTAAAGATTTAATGTTGTTAAGTGGCATTGAGTTGATTTGGACTCAGGAACCTTATATAGGGTTTCCGAGGAGCCGCTGGTAAGTATGAACCCTAGACCTTGTCGTTCAAATCGACCTTGAGTGGATTTCAACTCCTGGTGAGGCTCTACAGGATAAGCATTAAACTACTTGCTGACCACAAGGTCAGCGGTTCAAAGCCACCAACCGCTCCTTGGAAACCTTATACAGGTCACTATGAGTTGGAACCAACTCAAGGGACTTAACAATTCAAAGCATTGACTTTTGGAGAACCTGGCAGTGGGGAAATTACATCAGATACCTAAAGCTGACACCGCTCAAGCCAATGGTACACATCACCTTATCCTTCCAAATCACAGGCAGATATGGGAAAGGGGAGGGACAACCCACCATACATTAACCTTCCCTGCTGGATGGTGAACTTGACTATGTGGCTAGAATTCTGGCCTCATCAAATCTGCCATTACTTACTGATGGGCTTGGAGATTTACATCCAGGGAAAGAAATACACTCCAACTTTCCCCCAAATAGGCCTATCACGGGATCAATGGAAGAAAGAGCATTGTATTGGGAATCATGATGCTTGGATTCTGGTCTCAGCTGTGTCTCTGAGCATGCAGCCGGTCTTATCTGATTTAACCTCCCTGTGCCTCTCTGTTTAATCCACTGTATGGGGCCCCCTATAAAAAATAACTTATCCTAGAAGTGTATTCCCAAACAGCGAACTAGACATGGCATTAACCTCTGGGTCCTGCTGCTGGTCTTAGACAAGCACTGTAATGCGAGAGCTCTATAGGCCAAAAGTTTCAGGTTTGTTTTTATCTACTATTGTTGTGGTTGTTAGGTGCCATTGAATCAGATCCAACTCATAGAGACCCTATGACAACAGTGTGAAACACTACCCAGTGGCGGGCCATCCTCACAATTGTTATGTTTGTGCCCATTGTTGTTGTTGACCAGGTGGCGTCTTCCAAATTTCTTGGCATAGAGGAGTGAACGCCTCCAGCTCCACAACAGTTTGTTGAAACCTTTCAATGTGTATTGCGTCAATTCTAGGCGCCATGTTTTTCACCAGTGCCTTCAGTGAAGTTTGGACTTCTTCCCTTAATATCATCGGTTCTTGATCATATGGTACCTCTTGTAATGGTTGAACATCAGCCAATTCCTTCCATCTTCTTTTGATGCTTCCTGCATCATTAATATTTTGCCCATAGAATCCTTTAGTACTGTAAGTCATGGTTTGAATTTTTGCTTCAGTTCTTTAAACTTGAGAAAGGCTGAACATATTCTTCCCTTCTGATTTTCTAACTCCAGGTCTTTGCAAATTTCACTATAGTACTTGACTTTGTCTAATTGAGCTGCCCTTTGAAATTTGCTGTTCAGCTCTTTGTCTTCCTCATTTCTTCCATTCACTTTAGCTTCTCGACCCTGGAGAGCAAGTTTCAGAGTCTCTTCTGACATCCATTTTTGGTCTTTTCTTTCTTTCTTGTCTTCTTAATGACCTTTTGCTTTCTTCACGGATGATGCTCTTGATGTCACCTCACAAAACTCCTCTCTTCGGTCATTTGGGTCTAATGCATCAAATCTGTTCTTGATATGGTCTCTAAATTCAGGTGAGATACATTCAAGGTCAAATTTGGACTCTTGTGGACTTGTTTTAATGTTCTCCATCTTCAGCTTGAACTTGCACATCATCGGCTGACTGCTCCAGTCTGCCCCTGGTATTGTGATGGCTGATAATATTAACCTTCTCCATCATCTCTTCCCATAGATGTAGTCCATTTAATTTCTGTGTATTCCATCTAGTAAGGCCCACGTGTACAATCACCATTTGTATTATTGAAAAAAGACATTTGCAATGAATAAGTCGTGAGATCTCCAGCATAATTTCTATCACCAACGCCATATTTTCTAAGCACCAACCCTTCCTCTTTGTTCACAAATTTTATATTCCAGTCATTGGTAATTATCAATACATTTTGATTTCATGTTTGATGAATTTTAGACTGAAGAAGTTGGTAGAATTCTTCAGTTTAATCATCATTAGCTTTGGTGATTGGCACATAAATTTGAATAATAGTAGAATTCACTCGTCTTCCTTATAGTTCTGTGAATATCATCCTATAGCAGATAGTATTGTAATTCCAGATAGATCTTGAAATGCTCTTGTTGATAGTGAATGCAATTCCATTTTTCTTCATCATTCCCAACATACCAACTATATGATTGTCTGATTCAAAATGGTCACTACCTGTCCATTTCAGCTGACTGATATCTAAAATACAAATTGTATCTGCTTCACTTCATTTTGACGTCTTCCAATATCCTGAATTCATATTGCATACATTCTATATTCCAGTTACTGATGGATGTTTGCAGTTGTTTCTCTTCATTTTGAGTTGCACCCCTTCAGCTAATGAAGGTCCCAAAAGCTTTGTTCCATTCACATCATTTAAATCAACTTCACTTTGAGGAGGCAGCTTTTTCCCAGTCATATTTTGAGCATGAAAGGAGCTCATCTTCTGGCACCATATCTGACAGTGTTCTGCAGCCCATCATAAGGTTTTTAGTCACTAGCCATTCAGAAGTGGTCAGCCTCTTCCTAGTCTGTCTTGATCTGAAAGCTCTGCTGAAACCTGTCCACCATGGGTGACCCTGATGGTATTTAAAATACTGGTATCTTAGCTTCCAGCACTGAAGGAAAAAGCCCAAAGTGCATTGAAGGCATTGGCAAAGAACAAAGCTCTAGGAATGATGGGATACAAATTGAAATCTTTTAACAAACTGATATAGCACTGAAGGTACTCACTCATCTATTGCCAAGAAATTTGCAAGACAGCTATCTGGCCAACTGACTGAAAAAGATCCAAATTTGTGTCCATTCCAAAGAAAGGTAATCCAACAGAATATGGAAATTATCAGACAATATCATTAATACTGCATGCAAGTAAAATTTTGCTAAAGATAATGCAAAAGTGGCTGCAAGAGTACACTGACAGAGAACTGTCAGAGGTTCAAGCCAGATTCATAACAGGATATGAAATGAGGGATGTCATTGCTAACATCAGACAAATCTTGACTGAAAGCAGAGAATATCAGAAATATGTTTACCTGTGCTTTATTGACTATGCAAAGGCATTTGATTGTGTAGATCATGACAAGATATGGACAACATTGTGGAGAATGAGTATTCCGGAACTCTTAATTGTACTCATGAGGAACCTGTACATAGACCAAGAGGCAGTTATTTGAACAGAACAAGGAAATACTGAGTAGTTTAAAATTAGGAAAGGTGTGCACCAGGCTTGTATTCTTTCACCATATTTATTCAATCTGTATGCTGAGCAACTAATTGGAGAAGCTGAATTATATGAAGAAGAAAGTGGCCGCAGGATTGGAAGTAGACTCATTAACTACCTATAATATGCAGATGATACAACCTTGCTCGCTGGAAGCAAAGAGGACTTACGATACTTACTGATGAAGATCAAAGGCCACAGCCTTCAGTATGGACTGCACCTCAATGTAAAGAAAACAAAAATCCTCACTGCTGTACCAATAAATAACATCATGATAAATAAAGAAAAGATCGAAGTTGTCAAAGACTTCAATTTGCTCAGACCAACCATCAACATTCATGGAAGCAGCAGTCAAGAAATCAAATTACATACTGCATTAGGCAAATCTGCTGCACAAGACCTCTTTAAAGTGTTAAAGAACAAAGATGTCAGTTTTAGGACTAAGGTGTACCTCACTCAAGCCATGGCATTTTCAGTAGCCGCATAAACATGTGAAAAATGGACAATGAATAAAGAAGACCATATAAGAATTGATGCATTTGAGTTATGATGTTGGAGGAGAATATGAAAATTGCCAGGGACTTCCAGAAGAACAAACAAATCTGTGTTGGAAGAAGTACAGACAGCGTTCTCCTCAGAAGCCAGGATGGCAAGGCTACTGCTATCATATTTTGGATGTTATTAGGAGGGAACCATTCCTGGAGAAGGACATCATGCTTGGTAAAGTAGATGGCCAGAGAAAAAGAGGAAGACCCCCAATGAGATGGACTGGCACAGTGAAAGCAGCAATGGGCTCAGACGTAGAGACAATTATGAGGTTGGTGCAGGACTGGCAGTGTTTCGTTCTGTTGTGCAGAGGTTCACTATGAGTCGGTACTGATTCGATGGCCCCTAACAACTACATAGCTTTCGACATCACAGCAACACACAAGCCACATGGTATGACAAATTATGTTGTTGTTAAGTGCCACCGACTTGGTTTCAGCTCATAGCAACCCTGTATACGGTTTCCAAGGAGCCGCTGGTGAGTGTGAACTGCCAACTTCATGGTTCACACCAAACTTGCGGTCCAGTGCTTTACCCCACACTACGACACCAGGACTCTGGCTGTTGGCCTTTGTCCTGCCCTATAGTGTGAGAACTCTATACGCCAAAAGCTTAGGGCTATTATTGTTGTTGTTGTTGTTGTTAAGTGCCGTCGAGTCGGTTTCAACCCATAGCAGAGCAGCTGGTAGTTTCGAACTGCTGACCTTCTGGTTTGCAGCCCGATTTGTAACCACTACGCTACCAGAGCTCCTCATAGCAAC